ATGGAGCAGGATGGAGGGATGGAGCAGGATGGAGCAGGATGGAGGGAAGGAGCAGGATGGAGGGATGGAGCAGGATGGAGGGATGGAGCAGGACATAGAGATGCTGTTTTCAAAGCAGGGAGGGAGACCTGGAGCACCACACAAGGTGTTGAAGTGGGATGCTGTGGACTGGGACTCAGATCTTTAGTCAACACTACGCATGTTGGGGGTTTGGGGTTTTCCTCCTTGGCTGCATTGGGGGGAAGGCACAGGGAAGAGCTGGAGGCAGGCCAGGAACCAGCAGCATGGAGATGGCTGGAAAAGCACAGAGAGGTTTAGGAAGCTTGGGGGAGAAGGCTCCAAGGCCTGTAGCATGGGAAAGCTGGAATGCCAAAGTCCTCAGCCCAGGGCCCCCGTTTCTGTCCCTGTGCCATCTGCAGCACAGACAGGGATGCAGCAGGATCACACCACAGGCAGCAAAATTCCCTGTTTGTGGCAGGAGCACGGCTGCTGCTCCAAGGTACCAAGCCTGGGGACAAAGCAGCTCCAGCTGTAGGATTAATGGCATTTTAAAGCTCCTAATTGGAGAGATTGTTCCTGAGGGAGCGGCAGGGATGGGTGGGAAGGATGCGCTGCTGACTCGGCATGAGAGGGACAGTCCCATCCATTGTCTGCCCGTGTGGCAGCCCCACCACCCCACTTCTTCTCTCCTAGGAGTGGAGCAGAATGAAGAGGAAGCCCCAAATCAGAGATGAGGGGATAAACACGACCCCAGCAGTTGTAGCATGGGATTACACAGATTAAATCCTGCTGGGTAAACCCAGGGCTTCGACCATCACCCACCCCCAGTGCTGGACACCGGCACCTCCCAGACCTCCTGGATACAACACCAGGGCTCTGCAAGAGCATCCATGGGGAATCAGTGTCCTCCCTTCAGCAGGATGTGTATTTCCACCAGGGATTGCTCAGGGAGGAGCACTGTACAGCCAGGCAAGCAGGAATCCAACATCTCAGCATCCTAGTCTTGTAGGAGTACAACCAGCTCCAACACAGCTACCAGATCCCTCCATCCTTCCCAAAATCTGGAGATGCTTTAAGGGTCTTTCCCAGTGGGTGTTTTCCCCCACCTGGGGCTCCTGAGGTTCCCATTTACCTGCTGGTCTTTGCAAGTAAACTCGAGATATACTTTGAAGTTATATGTGATTGTTTGATGTCAGGATCTGCCCTGGCTCCTGGGGGACCTCCAGGTAGTTTGGGCAATCTTAGGGGCTCGGCTCACCCCAAAAAGGCCAGCTCTCAGCTCTACAGGTAGCCCAAGAGGCAGCAAAGGTGCAGCAGAGCTCCATGGAAGGAGGAACTGCAGAAGGTCTGCATGGCCATGGGCAGCCCACAGTCCTCAGCCCTGCTGAAACCTGGGAGCGTGTTCTCCCCTTGACATAGATGGGGACAGGGACTCCTACCAAACCCCCAAGCCATGGCAGGACAGGGAGGAGCTCCATCCCACACAGGACCCTGAACTGGGAGCACATCTGGATGCACCAGGAGCCCTGAGTGTCACATCCCTGCTCCCAGGAGAAACTGAGCTGGGGCTGGGCAGGAGGCAGCTGGGAGCAAAGCCAGGGCCTTGGGGGACTGCTGAGAGCACCCAGAACCTGCTCAGGGCTCAGTCCTCGGCCACCAATTCCCTGCAGAACAGGGGGGCTGGAGCTGGAGCTTTCAGCCCGATTAAGTCACATTCAGCTCTGCCACATGAATAAATAAATCATGTAAGAAGCATTAAGGCAGCTTAGTCTCCCCAGGAAATTGCCCTGGAGTTCGGCCTTTTGGGGGCTGAGGGATGCCCCCATGGATTGGGAGTGGGGATGGTTCAGCCATGCAGCACAGGGAAGGGGCAATGGGAGCTACAGGCAGGAGCAGGCCTGGAGCATCCCTGCAAAGGGGTTTGCCCTGGACAGGAACATTCCCTGCCTGCCCCGTGCCTGGATCTGCACCAGATGCACATTCCCAGCCTGTCCCTTTGGATCCCATGCCGACACAGCAGCATCCAGCTGCCACTATGCCCTGAGACGGTGCAGAGTGCCCTGTCCCCAGATGCCACCCATCCCAGCCGCAGCAGGCAGTGCATCCCAGCCTGGCTGCACCCAGGGGACACGACTGATGAGCCTCGGTGCCCAATCCTGCCCTCAAAGAAGGGGTCCTGCCAGAAATCCAGCTTGCATCCCATTCCCAATGGGGTCTGAGACACTTTTATCACTCCTGGCTAAAAGAGCTCGCAGAGAAGGAGGAAGAGGATGGGACAGACCCATGAGATGCTCCCCAGTGCCCTGGGGAGAGACCCGAGCGTCCCAGTCCCTTGTACTTACCTGGTACATGCACATGCTGGCATTAATCCCATTGGGCAGGTGAGCGCCTCTGGATTTGCTTCCCGTGCTCATGCCGAGCCCTCATGTCCGAGGCAGAGCACGGGGGGCGCCGGAGCCCCCTGCCCGCAGGGACCGGGAGGCAGCGGGAGCTCCGGGGCACTCCCATGGGCACCGCCCCGGTCACAGCCCGGGCCGAGGGGCCAGGGCGGCCCCAGGCGGGCACGCAGCGGGCACAGCGCTGCCGGCTGCCCCGAGTGCTGACCCAGATTGCTCCGAGCACACCCGAGGCTCCCAGGCCCGGCCCCGGAGCGGGAGCCGAGGCTAAATCCGCGCATCCCTTAATCCGGGATGCTGCGCTGGGGCGGGCAGAGCGGCAGGGTGACCCGGCTTGCTCTCTCCAGAGCGGGGAGCAGAGGACCCAGCCCTCAGCACAGGGAGGTGCTGCTGAGGCTGGATGCACCCAACACTTGGGTACGTCTCAGCAACTCTTTCAGGAAGGCAGACTCATCCACAGGGACCCCAGGAGCTCCTGGGAAGCACTGTTGGGCGCTTTGCTCTCAGCATCTTGGGCAGAGCCAGGACCAGCAGAGCTCTGCGTATGGAGCAGCTGTTCCCAAGCTGCTTTCCTCCATCCAGACAAGGCAGGGATGCAGAGAGCTGGCCAGCCAACAGCCCAAGCTCTGTCCTGGCTCATGCCACTAGTTTTGACCCATTTCCCATCTCTCTGAAGTGCTCCAAACCCCAACACCCAGGCAAGGAGGATCTCAGGTTTCAGCACTGCAGAGGTAGAACAGATGCAAACATTTGAAGCGTCCTGCTTCCCTTGGCTGTTGGGCTCCTCCCACACCATACCCACAATGGAGCAGAGCAACAGCACCCCAAAATCCCTGTTACCCCAAATCTGAATCCTGGGACACTGTGCTATTTCAAAAGACACCACAGGGATGGTGGGCAGCTCAGACTCATCCTGCACAGCCCTGTGACACTGGATTCATCCACCTCACCCTCTTCTAGCCTGAATATCTTCATGGAAATCAAGACCAGGCCTCTGGAGTACCTGGAGAGGGTCCTGCAGGTGGAGGAACAAGGAGCAGAGCACCAGCAGAAGCCCCAAGGCAAGCCCTGACTCCCCAAGCCCTGGGCTGCTCACTGAGCACGGGCCTCTGGCAGCCTCGCTGTCCTCTGCTCCCTGAGATGTCCCAGTCCCCACCCTGCACCAGCTCTGCCTCCAGTGTCCCCTCTCAGGACCAAGACTGAGACACAGAAGTCCCATTGTCCCACTGGGAAAGGGGGCTGATGGAAAGGAGCCCTCCTGGCAAGGGAAGGGGCAGCAGTGGGGCTGCTCTGCACAGTGGGGAAGGAGAGTGATTGATGAATGGTTAATGTCCCCATCTAAAGTGCCACAGTGGGCTCAGCACTTCCTGACATCCCAAGAAGTTGACTGGAGGCAGAAAGCCAGATCTGCTGCCCAAAATGAGCTATCTGCTCCCCAAGTGCTGTCCCCCAGCAGACTGACTGTCCCCAGAGGAAGCCTTGCTCTCTGTCTGTCCCCTGCCTTGCTCTCACCCTGGGGTGTCCTTGGGGAGGCTTTGCCCCTTCTCCAAATCCATTCCGCTGTGGACAGGGGCACTGCACTCCTACCCCTCCTCAAAGACCAGCAAGGGTACAGAGGAGAAGGGGAGATGTCCCAGTTGGTCGTGGCTTGGCCTGAGAGAACCCACAGGATTTACTGCTGACATGAGGTGCAACACCTGCAGCGTCACCACTGTCACACCAAGCCAAGCCCCCAGGGCCATGAGCTGAACCCCACATCCAATCCCCCCGGTGTGCCTCAGGGACGGTGCCAGGCAGGTCCTCACCTGCGGGAGGGCCGAGTTCAGCTGCCTCTGGAGCTGGTCCCGCTCCCGGAGCGTCTCCNCCTGATCCCGATCCCAGTGTAATCCTGATCCCGATCCCAGTGTGATCCTGATCCCGGTGTGATCCTGATCCCGATCCCAGTGTGATCCTGATCCCAATCCCAGTGCAATCCTGATCCCGGTATGATCCTGATCCCGATCCCAGTGCTATCCCAATCTTGGTGTGATCCCGATCCCGATCCCAACCCCGATCCTGACGGGCTCAGGGCATCAGCCCCGGCGCAGGCACACGTGCACGTTCTGTGCGTTATGCAAGCGCTGCCAGCAGCTCCCGAGCATCCCTGCGGATTAGAGCCGGGCTGGGAATGCCGGCGAGCAGACGGCAGCAGGAAATGTGCCAGAGAGGTGCCTGTGCATCGCCACAGATTCAGGGATCTGTCACTCCCCCGGTCCCTCAACACGCTGAGAGACAGGCAGCAGGGCTCCAGGAGCTTGGGAAAAGCACCCTGGCACTGGGATGGCCCCGGGAATGGCTCCCAGCAGCCCGAGCTGAAAACGTGGGGGATGCATCAGCTCTGTGCTTTTCCAGCAGCAGGCCAGGACCCTGCGGATCCAAAGCCTCTCTTCTGCCCCATGGCTGGAAGGGGACACTGGCTGTGGACATGGATGCTCTTCCCACGGGAGTGAACAGAGCAGGGCAGCACGGGATGGGTGGTACAAGGCATTGGAGGCAGCAAGAGGACAGGGATGGCCAGTGCTGGGGACAGAGATCAGCAGCACCCGGCCTCCTCTCCCTGCATTCCCTCGCTGTGGTGGCCAGGCTGTACAGATGCTCCTGCAATCAGGATTTCATCCTGAAAGAGGGGATTAAAAGGAAGCAAATCCTCTGGAGAGAGAGGCAGCCCCTGCTGTGGAAAGCCCAGAGCACAGGCGGTCAGCGGGTCACAGCCAGGGTGGGCACAGCACAGAGCTGCCACCAGCCCTCCCCCAGGGCTGCTCCTCTCCCAGCCCTTCATCCCGACAGGAACGCTGCCTGCATCCTGTGCTCTGTGTCCCACATCCTGTGCCAGGCCTGGAGCACCCCACGGCAAATCAAAGAGCCCTCGGTCACTGTCCCCCCTCAGGGAAAGCTGCAAAAATGAACATTTACATCAAAAATAGCAACAGCCCTGCGGCGAGCCAGGCCAGCAGTGAGGTCAGCCAAGTACACAGGGCCTGAGTATGATGCCTTGGGAATAAAAAACAGGAATAAACCACTGCAGCTCCCGTTTGCAGCCACCTCCCTCAGCCCTGGCTGTGCCAGATGTCAACGTTGCCACCTTGCTCTGGGTCACTGGTGGGCACCAGGCAAGCTGGGGACCATGACAAGCTGTCCCAGCTCATGGCTGCAGTGTTGCACTGTGGAGTGCAGCCTCCACCCCCAACCACAGGTGCGCTATGGCCCTCCATCCCAGCAAAGTGGAGATAAAGAGGATCCAGATGATTTTCCTCTGCCCTGGCCATGGCCAGGAGTCTCCCAGACAAGGCAGAGGTGCCTGCCCAGCTCTGATAGGCTCTGGGACTAAGCAGGGACACCTATAAACAGAGTAGAAAGTGAAGGAGCGGTGCCTGATCTCCAGTCCAAGGGTGGAAAAACACAGGAGCCTGCAAGCCCAGCAGTTCAGGAAGGGGCCAGTTTGGATTAAAACCAAACCTTCACCAAGTGACTGACTGAGCTTGGCCCCAAGTCCTGGGGTGAGAGGGAGCAGTATGGAGGAATGGAGCAGGATGGAGGGATGGAGCAGGATGGAG